AAAGATTAGTTATTTTCTTAACTTAAGAGTCCATGGTAGTTGAAAACTTACATTTTTGTGCCTTTAATCAACGCTTTTCAGAAAAATCCGCACAGAAATGAGTTCTTTAACGGGAAAGAAGGTGTTGAGCCAAAAAACAAAAATTTGATAAAAATTTACAAACCTGCGTAAAAATGCGAATTTCTTTACTTTGATTATATTGACGAGAGCCTGATTCCACCACGCCGCCTCACATATAATAAAGAGAATTGTGCAGGAGATGGGAGTAGCAAAGTATTAAGAATGGAATAGGAGGAGGGGAGAGGGTGGTTGATCATATCGATTTTATTTATATGTACCCACCCACAGTATCTCAAGACCGATCAAATAGAGAGGACATTATTGAGGACGAGGTCGATTGTTTTAGAAGATTGTGTAACTGAAACTGAACTCGTGTACTGATGAAAAAATCCCTCTTTTGAGTAGGCGTTTGCTCTGGGGAGGTCGAAGGTTGCAGTAGGATTAGGTATGATCTTTAACTTTATAAGTGCCGCGATACATTTCCATCAACACCTTGCCTGAAGGTCTACAAAAAAGGAAAAGGGGCAACTTTATCACCTGCCCCGAAGAAAAAAGTTACAGAATATAACACAAAACGAAAAACAAAACAAAACTAAACAAATAAACAAATTACCCCCCCCCCTCCTCACAAAACCACAAAAACACAAAACGAGTCCAGAAAAACAACAACACAACAACGACTAAAATCATTACCGTGTTTTTCTGCTAAGTACCGTGTGTTTTCTCAATTACAGCATGACTGATTTACAGTAGTTTACACGTAACATGTGTGTCCGATATTATTTCCTTTATCTATGGAGTATTATAAATGCCCCCCCCCCCTTCTTTCAAGACAATTTTGATAATTTAGGAGGTGGGCTTCTACCCTATCACGTCGAGCCACAACTTCAGGAAAGACCACCTCTCGTCTGAGAGAGGGGGATTACCTGGAACCAATGAGGTTATACACTAAGGTTTGCTGTAAGGTTCTTGCCTGGGGAACTGGAAGCGCCCAGCGAGTCACGAGATTTCTGGCACCACGGGGAACAACTCTGTGCTGTGGCAGTGTGGTCACGCTTGGCTGATGAGAAACAGAGATAAGTGCAGTTAGAGTGACGATGTGATCAGAGAACTGGACACGACTTTCCCCGCTAGGAATAATCGCCGACTGCAGGGATTATGAACGAAACAGAATGTGTGTCTGTGTGTGTGTGTGTGTGTGTGTGTGTGTGTGTGTGTGTGTGTC